AGAGGAGAGACAGGGAGTCCCTACAGTAAAAAACTCCTTGCCAGCTCTGAGACTCACTACCATCCATTCTGCAGAAATGGACTTTTGCCATAAAAGACAAGGCTCTCCGGGCAATGAACTGACAGAATTATAGCACCGGGTGGCTTTTCGCACAGGTTGGCTCACCAACCCCAAGCCAGAGTGGCCATGCTCCAGAGCTCCACACACGCCTCCAGGGAGGGGGAACTCGCGAGGCAGAAGGGGGTCCGCTCTATAAGCTCGTAAGCAGGAGCTCAGTATGGGCATCTTGAATGGCCTTTCTGCTGCCTCAAAGGTTGGGAGTAAGGTGGCTCAGAAAGAGAAGCCGAGGAGAAAACTAACAGAATCAAAGAATAAGGACTGGGTCTCTAACCACTGGTACAGACCCTTCCAGGAAAGCTTTACAAAAAAATGTGATTCCTGGGGCCCAGCTGGTGGTGCAGTGGCTAAGGTACTGGATCCCACATGGCTGACTTTGCAGTCTGAGTTCTGGACCCGGTGGCATGAAAAACACACCAGGAATGTGTGTGTGTGTTTGTTCAAAATTCCAAGAGGAGGGAACCAGCAGTTAGCGTAATGGCTATGTCGCTGGACTCCCACGTAGTCGACCGCGGTTCGAGTCCCGGGCCCGGTGGCTTAAAACTCACGCCGGGCATGTGTGCGTGCGCGCCCAAGATCGCGAGAGGAGAATGGAGAAGGGACTGCGGCGTGCCCATCCCCCGTGGGGGGTGATTTCTCGCTTTCTGTCTCTATGTCTCTCTCTGTCTGTCTGGCGAGCGCATGCGCCCTATAACAAAAAACCTCTCAAAAAAAAAAAAATTCCAAGAGGAGAATGGAAAGGGATTGTGATGTAGCCATCCCCCCTGGGAGAGGCATTATCTCATTTTCCCTCTCTTTCTCTCTGTCTCTCTCTCTGGCGAGTGTATGTGTCCCATAGGAAAAAAAGGAAGAGAGGACCAGCAGATGGCATAATGGTTATGTGGCTAGACTCCCACGTAGTTGACTGAGGTTTGAGTCCTGGATCTGGTGGCTTAAAACTCACACCAGGCACACATGTGTGTGCATTCCCAAAATCCCAAGAGGAGAATGGAGGAAAAGGGATTGTGGCGTGGCCATTCCCCTTGGGGGGTAATTTCTCTTCTTGCTTTCTATCTCTCTGATGAGCTCATGTGCCCTATAGCAAAAAATCTCTCTCAATAAATAAATAAATAAATAAATAAATAAATAAATAAATAAAATGCAGAAACCTGAGTCCTACCCCCAAAGGCTTGAATCTACTTCTCGGGATGACCCAGGAATCTATATTTTAAAGCAAACTCCCAAGCTCCAATCTGTTTACTTCACACCCCCTATAGACTCCCAGGCCTCACTTCACAGATGGGGTCACTGAGACACCCCCCCACGCATAGAAGAACATGTACTTGGAGGACCGACGGGAAAGCGCATCACCAACGTGGGCTTCGTCACTCACTTCTTCGCCAATCTCGTCAGGCCCTGAAACAAGGGCACTTGTACGCTCTCAGATGCCTGAGCCTCGCGTCAGATCCCTGCCAACTGTGCTGCTTTTACTATGATTTCATAAGCCTCCAGGAAGCAGGCTGCAGACCAGCTCACTCTGGATCTGGCTGGTTTGGGACTGCAGCAGCTTGGCAGCTTGGACAGGGAGTGTGGCTCAAGCCACTGACTGCGGAACAATCTGTGCAGGGAGGCTGAGGGTGGGGGTGCAGGGTGAGCAGAGGGGTAAGCAAGCCCCACATTCTGGGGTCTGGGCCAGTGGTGCCTTTCACTTGCCCAGGAGGGAAGACCCTGCCCGGGCTGACCAAGGCATCCTTATAAATGCTACTTCCGAGAGGCCCTGGCCCTGAGAAGGGCAGCCCGTGCCTACCATTTCCTTTCCCTTTGACCTCTGCACTTCATCACCATCACAACCAAACCCCCTCATTCTTACTTCACATGCTACCAAGCCCCTCAGGTTAGCCGGTTATTCCCCACAACAGTCTCGCAGAGTAGGTACAATGATCTTTATTTATAGATGAGGAGCCTGAGGTTCAGAGAGGGGAGGTGATGTGCCCAAGGCACCCAGCTGGGAAGTGACTGGAGATGGGGTGACTCCTTAGGTTTACGCTTCCACCGGTTCCTTACCTCCATAGCACACCAACTTGGCCTCCACAGGCGTTGTTAAGAAGGGATTGGATTAGCAGGGCATTTCTTGAGCAAGAAAGGATCTGGAGGTGCTGCTTTGGGTAATCCCTTTCAGGTGCATGGCACTCTGCAGTGACAATGAGGAGCACCATAGGAAGAGATTGGGAACAGCGACACCAGAGCCACGCTGCCCGGGTTGGAGCCCTGCTCTGTGCAGCTGTGCGATCCTGGGCATGTGACCTGACATGTGTGCCCAAGTGTCGTTTTCTATAAAACGAGGATAACAATAGTAACTACTTCCTAGGGTTATTTTGAGGATGAAACGAGGATGTGAACAGAGCACTCCGAACAGTGCCTGGCACGTAAAAGTGTCCTTTCACTGCTTGCTGCTATTCTAAGAACGACAAAATGTTCTCACATCTACTACTTCACTCGATCCTCCTAACAGCGCTACTTGGTGCAGGGGACTGAGCGTGTGCCCCACTTTGCAGATGAAAAAAGGGAGCCTGGGCAAGGAAAGTGATTTCCACGAGGACGTACAAACCAGTCGTCGAAGTCTCTGAGTTCTCAGGTCACCTCCCAGGCAAGCCCCCGTTTAGCATCTGTCTCTTTTGAGCACTGTGGCTGCCCTCGTTTTTCTGTTCGTCTAAAGTGAGAGCTGGGAAAAGTACAGGAAGGGCTACTGTGTGACAAATACACCACCCCTTTCAATGTCCTTGCCCACGGCAGACAATACTAATTGATCACAGGCCTTTTCCCTGCTGGGCTGGAGCACGGCTTTGGACTCTCCCACCCAGAACTCTTGACAGTCATTGCCAATTGATTACAGATGACCAAATTCAGTGCTTCTGTTGTATTGACAGACTCCTCTACCTAAATGTGGGTGATTTCTAAATGTAGTTATGATTCGGAGACGGCGTGCTCAGAGCCCAGTCCACATCCCCACGTGTGTCAACCTCCCTGAGGATCTCACTGACAGATCACAGAGTCTGTGGGCAGCATGTGATCAAAGCAGCCTTCCTCGTTCTCCACATCCAAGAAACTGGATAGATTTCTAATAGATGCCTAGCTTAGAACCGGCCCTGCGGCCTTGCCTTCATGACCACCAATCACACCAGCAGACGGGTGCTCTTCACATCCCACATCACCAGGTCCTCTGCCGTCATGGACACGATGGAAAGTGTGATCGTTTGTTACTAATCACATTTTTACATCCCAACCTGGAGATTAGGGGCTGAGTATAAAAGTGGCGCAGTTCAGTGGACGTACAGGTCGTTACTGCTCCGCCATCGCTCTGGAAAACGATACCTCCCTCTCCCAGTCAGGAAGGCTGAACCCACAAACACACTCTTGCTCTGTGGTGGACACATGGTACAATTCTGGGCAATCATAGAGCCATCTTTCCAGCCATGAACAGTGGCTCAGGGCTAAACATGTGTCCCCAATCCAGACAATGAGCGTCAGCCCCAGGACTTCAGCTGATGCTTTCTTTCATTTTATTTATCATTATTGTTGTTATTATTATTATTTCATTTTTTGGGGAACAGGGCACGCATGCTCACCAGAGAGAGAAGAAAGTAAGAAAGCAAGCCGAAAGGTCTGGAACTTAAATTGCAGCTGGCCACATGAGGGCCCAGTACCTGAACCACCGTGCCACCTTTTAACAAGTGTTCTCTGGGACTGCCAAGTGGCATGGTGGTTAAGGCACTGGACACTCCCACACGGCCAACCATGGTTTGAGTCCTGGACCTGGTGGCTTGCTTTCTCCTTTCCTCTCTCTCTTTCTCTCTCTCTCTGTGTGTGTGTGTGTGTGTGTGTGTGTGTGTCTGGTCAAATTAAAATAAATGAATGAATGAATAAATGAAATAGAATAAAATAATTTTTTAAAAAAGCGTTCTCTGAACATGGTTGTTAAGCTGATCATGAGAAACCCGTGGCTATTTTTTCCCCGTTGACTGAGAAGCACCTCTGTGAAAACAGAGTTCCACAGGGGAAAGCAGAGTTGGGAAATGGCGCTCTTAGATCCAACTGAACTTAAATCCCACTTTTCGACTACGGGAACCAATCAATGCCTCTTGGTGGTGACTGTGAATCAGCTGTCACTTACAATCCGAGCAGGCCTGACAGTTACTGTTCACATTGTGATGTGGACGGGTTCACATTGTGATGCGGACGGCAGACAATTCCCAGAGGCTTGGGGCAGCCACAGCATCTTCTATCCAGGCCACAGTTGGTGGCAATCGGGGCAGCCTGTGTTCTCGAACAGGTATGTTGTGGAGAAAAAACAAAGCTTTAAGATTTACTAAGCTTCGGGACCAGTAGTTAGCGTAATGGCTGTGTCACTGGACTCCCACGGAGTCGACTGCGGTTTGAATCCCGGACTCGGCGGCTTAAACTCACGCCGGGCGCGTGTGCGAGCGTGCCCAAGATCCCGAGAGGAGAATGGAGGAGAAGGGATTGCGGCGTGACCATACCCCCTGGGGGGGGGGTGATTTCTGGCTTTCTGTCTCTCTGTCTCTCTCTGTCTGTCTGGCGAGCGCACGCACCCTATAGCAAAAACCTCTCAAAAAAAAAAAAAAAAAAAGATTTACTAAGCTTCTGGGCTGGTCTCATAGCCCAGTGTTTAAGGGAGCCAAATCCCACGTGGCCAATCGCAGTTTGAATCCCAGACCTGGAGGCCTGAAAGGCATGCCAGGTACTCATGTCTGTGTGTGTCCAGAATCCTGACAGGGTGGAAGAAATAGGAGAGAAGGGACCGTGGCATGACCATGCCCCACTGAGAGGGTGCTTCTTCCCCACCTCTGGCGAGTCCTTGCACCCTCTAGCAATTAAGAAAAAAAAAAAAAAGAATCACTAAGCTTAATCCTGTGTTTTCCTTCTGATGTCCTGTTTGTACTAGGGGCTCTGGACACTTAAGACTGGCAAGGCCTGAGACAAGGGGTTTCTGCTCTGCTTCTGAGTCCAGAGAGAGGATTCGGTTTCTATTGAAAGGAGCAGGTCTTTATTCATTTGTTTATTCATTTTACTAACATGGACTGCTGTTTGATTGTCTCCAACCCTCTGAATTCTCCACTTTCTCTTCTCCTGAAGCTATGCCTCCCCTTGACCTTGTCAATGCTCAGTTTCTGCAAACGGTCCGCAGCATGCATGGAACAGGAGTCACCTGTAAGGCAACGCGTGACAAGGGCGTTCGGGAAGGCATCTGTACAGACGTTGGCTGCTAGAGCTCGGCTCTTAGCCCGGGGCCTCTTCCCACTGAGAATGGGTATCAGGCGCCGTCCTCAGCTTGCCTTCTCTAAGCGCCAAGCCCGGCCCAGGCCCTTGAGCAGCTAATGTCATAGATGTGGGGGAAGGGGCAGCACCTCTCCTCTGGCTTCACCTAGTGCCAGGGCAGGTTTGCTGCTACCACCCGTGACAGTCACATTAACCCACCATGGGCTCCGCGGACACTTGGATCACTCATGTGGCACCATGAGACCAAAAAAGAAAGAACTGAGAGGAACTCCGATGGTCGGGGACCTAGGAGGGATGAGAGCAAAGTCTGCAGGGCCAGCCCCTGCTGGGAATGCCAGGGCTCAGTAAGGTTGGCATGTGCCCTGAGATCACGGGGCTCCACTGCAGGGCGGTAACATGAGATCTGCACTCTGGCCGACAGGTGGAGATGGGGACAAAAATGGCAGCAGGAGGCCCAAGTAGATGACAGCCCCACAGGCCAGTATGAGAGCAGCCCCTGCATGGGACGAAGTAAAATGGAAAGCATAGCTCGGACCTGTTTGTGATCTAGGCTGGAGCAGGGTCGATGAGACTCAGCGATGGCTGGGCAGCAAGGAGAAATTAAGTAGGGCTCCCTGGTTGGGGGCTGCTGCAAGCGGGGGGAAGAGAGGAGACCCAGGGCTAAGGAGGGCTGAAACGAGGAGCTCCATTTCAGACACACACTGAGTTCAAGGTACCCCAGGGCAAGTGAGCAGCGTGGCCAGCCTCGGTGGGTAAGCCGGGGGGTCTCCCACACCTACCTCGCCCGGGCTCGGCTGGCATGGGCATGAGCATGAGTAGGTATGCACAGGGTGGGGGAAGGAGGGGTGGGTAAGGACACGGTTACCACAGGGCTCCCGTTTAGGCAACACCACCAGGCAGACTGACAGGCTCTCTTATCTGGCCCTGAGAACACTCCTGTGAGGCTGAGGCTGGGGTTCTCCCCAGTTCACAGAGGAGGACCCTAAGACCCAAAGAGGTAAGTCGAGCTGTCATAGATGTGCAGGTAGGGGCAGCTCCATCCTTTCCTCTGGCCTCAACTAGTGCCAGGGCAGATTTGGTGCTGCCGCCCGTGACAGTCATATTAACTCACAATGGGCAGTGCGGACACTGGGGTCACTCACATGGCACCATCAGGAGACCAGAAAGAAAAAACTGAGAGGAACTCCGACTCCAAGTCACCGCTCCCGTCCACACTCTGTCTCGCAGGTCCCATGCAGACACGGGGAAGGTCACTTGATCCCCTTGACCCTGACCCGTTACTCTCTGTATGAAAACTCCTCACAGCTTTAACCAAGTTTCTGACGGGGTAAAACAAGGAGCGTGGGCCAAGACACCATGACAAACTCTACAATCCCACCAGTGGCCCGCATCTACAGGAAATTAACTCACTGGCTTCTGCAGCGTTGAGTGTGGCAGGAGGGGACCAAGGTGCTCTGGGGGGTGAGGAAGGTCTGGGTAGTCCTGCGGCCCCTCCCTCTCTTATTCTAGTGTGACAGCGACACCAGGAGCCAGGACTTCCGGCCCCACTTCAGGGACCTGAGCACCCTCCCATCTCTGCCCTAAGTCCCCAACCTTCTGTCTACTCTGCCAGATCAGAGCCATGGGCAGGAGACAGCCCCCCGGCTGCCTTCACATAAGCCCTTTCGTCCCTTCTTCCTTTCTGTCCCCCTACTTCTGTCCCAGCAGATACTTGGCAGCCTCCCAGAGGCCCACAGGGAGGCAGGAGGGAATGTTGAGCATCTGGCCAGAGCCCAGGCCAACCCCGTGGGTTCATATTAGGCCACCTGCTAATGTGCGGGACCCTGGGGCCAGTGGCACTGTGGTTGGCTGGCAACCCCAGGGCCTCGTGACCCCAAATCCCAGCTATAAATAGATGAGAACCTATCATCCCCCTGCCCAGACCCAGGCTCCCCTCCCTCTTGGCAGAGAATGAAAGGGCGCCTTCAGATGGTGCAGAAGCCCAGACACCCAGCTCAGCTGCTCTGGGCCCAAACCTTCTGCTGACCTCAGGGAAAAGACGCTATTCTCTAGAAATCCAGGGCTCTGTCAATTGTCCAGGCCCTGCTCAGCCCACATCCTGTCTTCTTCCCCCAATAACTCTCCTGGTGTTGCTACTGTTTCCAGCCCCCAGATTTCTGAGTCATTTGGAGCTCACTTTAACATGTCGCCAACAAGGCACCCATTAGGAGCTCTCTGCTTGGGGAGAAGGGTGCATGCACGTGTACACGGGGAATGTTGGTCTGTGCAAGAAAACAAAAACGAAGAGTTTATTTATACCGTATGCAAAGGGAATGGCCTTGCCCCAGGTCGCCCAGTAAGTGAGTGACAGGGTAGGGAAGACACTCCCAGGATGGGCTCGCCCCAGCTCAAGCTGAGCACAGGCCTGCTCCCAGCCCGCCATGGTGCAACTGCTGTGCCATGCACAGGCCCAGGGCCCTCCTGCTTCTCTTTCTTCTCTTAATCTCCCCCACACCTCTTCTTGGGCTCAGCCCACCACCACCTCCACCAAGAAGCCATGGCAGTCTGATTTGGTGGCGCATAGCTGTTTCAACCTCCTCTCCCCTTGACGCATTCACTGAGTCACTTGCGTGGCGCTGACCAAGAATGGCATTCGCGATGATTTTTCTTTTATTTAAAGACAACAAATAGAGTCTATCTCATAGGCCAAGCCCTACCTGTTAGGAGTAGCTGTCACTGCATGGGTAAAGATCTTGAAGCCATAGATCCAGGATCGGCAGGAAGGAGTGTGGTAGTTAATTAGTTATGTCTGCCTAGGTCAGCGAAGGTATCAGCACCCATGCAGGGGTTTTCTATCCTTGCTGCCTGCAAGATAAAATTCCTTAAAGCAGGAACTCATCTATACGGGCCAGCCAGCTCGAGTCATCAGAGTAAGGACCTCCCCACCTCGCCTGCCTCCCAGGTATCAACAACATGGCAGTGAGCAAACGACCCAGGGGGTGGGGGCAATGGTCACTGTCCCTTGCTAACTTTGGTGGGGACAACAAAGGATCCCACAGCCATTGCCTTAGCTAATCCAGACAATAAGTCTGCAAGACAGACAGGTAGTCTCTCTCCCTTTCATATGAGGTTAAGTGACTGTCTCAAAGTCACTTGGCAGACTCGACTTCCCCAGTCTGGGACCCTGCCCATCAAATACTAGGTAACGCTTGATGTGAAATCTTGCACCTGACTCAAGGTCAGCAAAGCTTGCCCTGGGTCACAGCGAGGCCCGGTGACCAGTGAGGATGAGAACCTGAACCCTCTGGGCCTGAGGCCAGGCTTCGGCTCCTGCTGGCCTGCACACACAGCTCCTCTGAGCTAGAACCTGGCTTGAGCATGCAGGCTCCAAGCTCACGTGTCTCTGCTTCCCCATGGCTGCCACCCCCAAACTCTGCAGTGGGAGCAGGCTCTGCACCCACAGGCCTCGCAGTTCCTCCCGAGTGCCTTTCCTTCCACCCCCATCCAGGGTGGAATGCTCTTTCACCCAGATCTCCCTGCATCTTCTCCAGCTGGGGAGTCAGTTGATTGCTGCTGCCAGCACAGGGTGTTAGGAAACACTGCAAAACGGGGAGCGATCTGGCCCAGACCAAGCCCATGGGGAGGAGCTGGGAAAGGGTTCTCTCTACTCCTTTATCAAACATCCCGAACCACTGAACACCCCCCTCCCCAGGTCCCAGATACGCCCAGGGCCAGGTACAGCCCTGGCCTAGGACCACACAGCCAAGATGTAGCAGAGACAGGATTCAAAATTGTGGACTCCCTCCCATGGGCCTCACTCAGATTCAGAGCCTGGCTGGGATCCGAGCATGGTGGCCTTTGCGTCCTGGGACAGTGTGGATGTGATCTGGTGGCCAGCTGGAATCCTGGGAAGACCCTGCTGGGGAGGGGCTGACATGGTCCCTTCTTATCTGATAGTCTAAGACTAGGTCTTGTTGAGAGTAACAGCTTTCTAGGGCAACTTCTCCCTTAGAAACTGGTCTTTGCCTAAACTCCCTGTGGATGCTGGGCACAGGTCATCTCTCCTGTGGGATGTTTCTAGAACCTTCTAGATCATCTTTTTCCATGGAATCCTAGAAACCAGGGGAATGGTTCTAGGATCATACAGTCAGCCAAACTTCCCTTTTGCCAAATGAGAAAACTGAGTTTGTGAGTACCAGCTACCGCTAGGCAGTGACAGATCTGGGCCACTTGACCTGGATTGCTACTGGGATACCCTGGGAGAAAGTGGGCAATTGCAGGGGTGAACCTCACTCTGTGAAGTCCCGCAAAGGTGAGCCCTGGCTCAGGCCAGGCCTGGTTGAAGCTGAGATTACAGCTCACTGATCAGAGCTGCCCAAGATGGTCACAGGCAACCTGCTGAGGTCGTGAGGCTCTGTGCCTGGGTGTGTGCAGACATGGGCTACGGTAGGACAACGGGAGCAGGCATGACACGCTAGGGGTGAGGCGACAGGCTGGATGACCGCCTTTGAAGCCCCTTGACCCAGATAGTGCAAGAGCCCCACCTCTGCTCTGAGTCTCTTCTCACCACCTGGATCTCTCTGGCCACTGGAGGTCTGGGTAAGCTGGGGAAGCTCAGAGACCTCTTTCTCTCTCACCACGCTGCAGGCTATGGGGTGAGAGTTGGACTGACTAATGCATCCTAGCCAGGCCTATGGATCCAGGGCCGCTTCCCTCTGCTATCCCTCACACACAAGTATCTGCAGAGTGAGGGCCACTGACGTGGGGCCACGTGTGTGAGCAGCCAGATACTGTGTGTGCATGTGTGTGTGTGCATGTGTGTGTCAAGGGTTTTAAGTCCCGACTTCCAAGAGGATTTCCCTCTTCGGAAGCTCTAGGCTCTGGGAGGCACGGCCCTCATGGGGAGAGGACCAAAGAAGGCAAGAAGTCGGGCGGCAGGGGGAGGAGGCAGGCTGGCACTTTCCGGAGAAGACCGGGCTGTAAAAGGAGTGCAGAGGCCTGCATGAGCCGTGAGGGACAGGCGGCCACTTAACTCTTCCCTCCCAGTGTGGGGGGCTGGCGGCGTTTCCCAGCACATTCCTGGGCTCAGGGCCAAGCAGGCCCCCTCCCACTCCTGGCACTGCGAGTCTCAGGCCAGGCCTGAGTACTGACTGTGCAGGGGTTGCCAGTGGCCCAGGGGGTGGTGGCTTTCAGAAGGAGCTAAGAGAGGACTTGGGAAGGGGGACAGGCTGTGGAGAGGGAGAGCTGGCCAACATGGCGTGTGTTTTTAGACTTCCATCCAAAGAAAAGTTACCACATGCGTGAGGTGGGCAGAACGGGCGTGTGTTTCCGTGTTGGTCTTTGTGCTTGGAGTAACTGGGAAAACGACTCTAAAGCCCCGGCATATACTAAACGCTCAATAAATAGTGAATGAACTAATCCACAAACTGCCTCGGCAGTCACCACCACCGCCATAACCATGGATTCAGACGGAACTCTAGCCCTGGCCTAAGACAAGTCATGGCACCTCCCTGAGTCGAAGGCCCTGTGAGACGAAATCGCAAGGTCCTTCTTGAGAGCCACAAAGTGCTACCCACTGGGAAAAGATTCTCACTGCCATGGAAGAGCTGGGGGAGGTCGGGGCGGGGGGATTCCAGAGTGGGTGGGAGCGTGGGGGTGTGCACACTTGTATCAGGGATTCCGGGAAGACCTCACCTGTCTGCTGCCAACGGTAAAAGGATATTGGGCTATTTCCACCATCCACTGGGAACCCCAGACTGGCAAGTGACGGAGCAGCAATTTGAACACAGGGCTAAGAGCTGAGGCTACAGTCCTACCTCTGTAGGAGAAGACCGGGCTGTAAAAGGAGTGCAGAGGCCTGCATGAGCCGTGAGGGACAGGCGGCCACTTAACTCTTCCCTCCCAGTGTGGGAGGCTGGTGGGGTTTCCCAGCACATTCCTGGGCTCAGGGCCAAGCAGGCCCCCTCCCACTCCTGGCACTGCGAGTCTCAGGCCAGGCCTGAGTACTGACTGTGCAGGGGTTGCCAGTGGCCCAGGGGGTGATGGCTTTCAGAAGGAGCTAAGAGAGGACTTGGGAAGGGGGACAGGCTGTGGAGAGGGAGAGCTGGCCAACATGGCGTGTGTTTTTAGACTTCCATCCAAAGAAAAGTTACCACATGCGTGAGGTGGGCAGAACGGGCGTGTGTTTCCGTGTTGGTCTTTGTGCTTAGAGTAACTGGGAAAACGACTCTAAAGCCCCGGCATATACTAAACGCTCAATAAATAGTGAATGAACTAATCCACAAACTGCCTCGGCAGTCACCACCACCGCCATAACCATGGATTCAGACGGAACTCTAGCCCTGGCCTAAGACAAGTCATGGCACCTCCCTGAGTCGAAGGCCCTGTGAGACGAAATCGCAAGGTCCTTCTTGAGAGCCACAAAGTGCTACCCACTGGGAAAAGATTCTCACTGCCATGGAAGAGCTGGGGGAGGTCGGGGCGGGGGAATTCCAGAGTGGGTGGGAGCGTGGGGGTGTGCACACTTGTA